AGATTTTTTAAATTATCAGTTAAAAGAGCACTTCCTTCAGTCCCCGAAGACTGAACTTGGACTTCTGAAAACCCTGCATGATGAGAAAAACAATTTTCTAATGTTAAATGTCATGTAAATGAAATATCATTTCATTTATATACTATGAAACAAAGTAATTTAAATATAAAATAAAATTCAGAGCTGTCTGAATGTAAACAAGGACTAGATAGCAAAATATCTTTAAAACATTTCTACTATAAGGAAGTTGAGGTAATCAGCTCATTTCTTTTCCCCCTAAGAAATATTATCCTATTACATTCATACAGGTTATCCAAGTGTGATGAAACTGTAATTTCCAGTAGTATATCATTGTGTAACTTGTTACAATTGGGACTTATCCCATGAGAATTCATCAATGAAGTATCAGGTGGTTTGCTATTGCCTGAGAATATAAAATGCTACTGACTTTTGATGTGCATAAGTCTTTCCTTATTTTCTGGTTTTGGATAAACTGAGAAATGTCCTGAGTTTTTAACAACGATTTCAAAAGCTTATACCCTTATTAACACATAGAACAGCAACTTAACAACAAAGCAAACTTTTTTTTTCTCAGAATATCTCCTGTGTTAAAGGCAAGCGGACATTTCTACCTCTAGTTACAAACTAGTAAATTCTGAATGAGTCGGGAATTACTGGACAGGTAATTGTGCTTGATTCAGATACAGTGAGTTTTGAAATATGAACATCTAGTGTCATCAAGATGTAAACTATCCGACATGTTCATGTACAGCTGACAGTTATGACACAGGAGACCCAAGTCTATATAAAATAGCAGCAAATGCTAGGCAGGAGAACCCAGGACATTTCATATGATGCTGGAAGTCTGTATTAGCAGCTGAACCAGGCCCTGACTCTGGAATTTATCTCCCTATTAAATATATGTGGTGTCTGCATGTACATGTGACTAAGCTTTATATGGCTCTCCCTAGGAACAGAAGCATTTTCAATATGTGGCTGCAGGTGTCCTGTGACTCCTGCACTGGACTGTGTCACCCATAAAGCAATGCTTAGGTTTAGTTTCCTGATGTCCAGTGTAATTTTTCTAAGAGTATTTAGTCTGACCTCTAACTAGTTCTAGAGAAGAGAGGGTATACCTTTAAAATTCCATCATAGGACTACTCCTATGAGATGTTTTGGCCAGCTGACATGATTAGGATTGAACTCTAAGGCTTTATAAAATTAAGCATCTATATTAAAATTTCTTTGTGAGCAATGACCAGGAGAAAACATATAAAACATATTCTAGGCAATAAATGTTAAAATTACTTTTGTTCTTAATCCCACACCCTTAATTAAATAAAATAAAATGAAGAAAAATCCATTAAGGCTGTAGTTTTATTATTGTCACATATAATATGGAAGTCTCTTGTCCCTTCCTGTGCTTAGATATTTAATACAGTCATATTAACAGCTGTTCCCAGCTACGAAATATACCTGCAGTGTTTAAAACCAAGCATATGTTACTAATTGTATTGTCTCACCTGTGTCCAGCTCTCTTAACTTATGAAAGTTTGAGTTTATGTGCACATTGCTGAAACAGCCTCTGAATTCTCTGCTGAATATACTCCAGCATGGTCATAAAGTCTGTGGAGCTCAAAGATTCTGCCTCCCTCCTTAATATCTAAGAGATACTCTCAGAAATGAGAAAGAAATTTGCCTCCTTCCCTTCTGCCTAGTCTCATCCATGCCAAATCACATAAATATGGGTAAGAATCATTTTGCACCATCCGGTTCTTTGCTATTATAAAGCACAATGGTTGAAGATTCTCCCTGACAACAGATTCCCACACATTTTGGTATCTGACTATTCAACAGAGCCAATTTGCCTGATGCAAAGAAGATACCAATTATTTCTAGTGTTGCCAGTATAAAAAGGCTGTTGTACAGTGAAGCTAGCATCTGGCTAGCTTATTTTTTGGTACATTCAGAAGAGATTTTTTAAAAGAGAATAGCTCTTTTCAGAACTTTAAACACGAAATTATATTCAACAGTAAGCTCTTTATCCCCACTTTATCCTCTTTTGTCTCTGTCTTTTCAGAGGTCTGCTGAAATGCTCCTGTTCCCTCACATTTTTAATACTGGGATAAGTGGGCAGCTATTTCTTGAGTTTCTGTATGTTTCTCCAGCTTATGATTTCTCTAATCTAAAAGTAATAGAAGATCCTATATATTTTCAGTGGATCAATGCATTTTCTGTCTTATCATTTTTATCCTTGTCATACTAACCACCACAGAGAACAAACATAGAACACTTACCAACCTCATTTGCCTTCTGACCCTTTGTGCACTCAGGTAAGGATTAGGTGGGACAAATCTCTACTTCAAACATTGTGATGACTTACATGCATGTGATAGAAGCAAAACATTTCCAGATACATTTCATTTCAAAAGGAAAGAGCATTTTAGCTCCATAAACTTAATCTAGGTAGTCTTCTGACTATAACCACCTTAAACTTCTAACATGGTGAAGGAATGAAGAAGAGGTCTAGAGGACTTGCTCTTCTAGGTTAGGTATCTCATGTTTCAGAACTGAGGTAGAGATGGTTTCAGGCGCTCTGTGCAGCCCTTGCCCTCATCAGAGAATGCTAACAACAGCAGAGGTATCAGGTTATCTTCTGTAATGAGGGGCCAGGCTCCTTTTGGTCAGTAATTACTGAATTCTGTAATAGGTCAGCAAAAGTGTTTTGCATAATAGGTAGGAAAACTTATTTAATGAAATCCCCTTTTGCTTTAATGTGAGAAGCAGCCTATTTATTATCCCCTTTAATCTCAAGTGTGCACAGAGAACTCAAAACAGAAAAAAAAATATTTTACATAAAATTAGGTTCCATTTATGATATTTCCAGACTTTTTTTTTCAGACTGCAACAGTCTTAAGGGCCTACTCCTGTGAGCGTTCCTCAGCTAAGTTAAAAAGGTTATCCTGATACAGGCTCAGACCTTTCTGAGCTAGATGTTGTGTAGCTGGGAATGTTCTTCATTCTATATCACAGTGTATAGAGCCCTTGTGACAGGTCATGGCAGTCTTTTGAATAATTTCTTAAGTACAGTCATGCATCAACAAACACCTTACAGAGCATTCATCTGTACTACAAATAGAAAAATTCCCATTATTCCATCCAGCAGGAATACCTAATTTTCTGTTTGTTGAAGGAATTGTTAAAGAAAACTTGTTCTCTCCCAATTGCCCTTTATTTTTCTCTTCTGGAGTCAAGGCCAGGTGAGATTGGTGACTTCTAATAGAGGAAGAATATGGCAAAGTAATTATTCCTCTTGATTTTAAAGATCATTTAAGCAGTACTTGATATTTTCTTTTTATAGTCTTTTATCCATGTGAACTATATTTATACTCACATGTATTTGTCATGTGTGGAAGTACCAACAATAACAACTTTTGTAGAAGCTGCTCACAAAAACAATGACTGATCTTTGTCAAGATAATTCTAAGAATATTTTATATCTTTTCTGATTTGGCAAAGTAGAACATTTAATAACCTTTTTTTCTTCTTTATTTATTTTTCTTTACTTTTTTTCCTCTTTATTTTTGTTCTATTTCTTTATTGAAGACTACTATTTCCAATAGTCTGTGGCTCTGAAGAATTCACATTTTAAAATACCACAGCCTGGGATTAATTCATCTAACATTGGCATGCATTGGAGTATCTAAATTACCAGCACAAGTCTTTGAGGTTCTGCATATTAGTCTCAGCTAGGGAAAGACAGGTATTTCTGAGATTTCTGAGCCAACCCTTACATGGAATGAATCATCTTATGTGTACTTTCACTGCATTGATTCTACAATAAACCAAAGACAACTGTGTTTTTTCTATAGACACCTCAAGTAGATCCCTGAAGTTAAATGAGATAAATCTAGATTCAAGTCACTGCAAGAAATACCAGTGAAAATATAACTCTACATTCTTAAGAGAAAGTATCATCTTTGAAAGTCAGAACTGATGGCAGATGCACTGGGAAGACCCATATCTTTCATCATATAGTACAGAAAAGCAGATGGCATTTATTGAAATGCTGTAATAAGTTTGAGAAACCCCAGGCAAACTGACAAAGCAGCAAACAAGATGCAAAGCTACAAGCAATAAACCAGTTCAGCTCAGAGGGAGAAAGGTGCTGCAGGGAATATACACTGACAAAAAAAAAGAGAGGGTTAAGCTTTGTCAGTGATGGGGAACAAATGAAAAAACCCAGTAGATTTTGGAATTAATGTAATGAGACAAGTAAATTTATCGCATTTTATGACAGAGTTGCAAACAAAGCCAGTGAATCTGCTGGTCAGGCATACAGAGGAAATAATTGTGGGAGGTATACAATGAATAAAGTAATTATATTAACAGAAGATCTTACTACCCTGCCATTTAATTTCTATCACAGAAATGTGAAGAAATACAAAAAACTTATGTAGGAATACTATCCTGCCAGCTCATATACTCTGAGGGGCACCAAACTTGTTCCTGGTGTTTAGGGAAGAGATTTTGGAATCACTGGGGATTGTTCATCTTCTAATTTTTCAATAGAGTTTATGAACATGTATCTGGTGCTGAAATGGTGATGAGAAATATAGAAAATTAGACAAAAATTACAATCCAATTTTGAGAAAGTCCACATCTTGAATGCTATATGGATTATTTTGATCACATCTGTGTCAAGGAAAAGTAGCAGAACCAAGAACGCAGAGAAGGAAGAAAAGGATGACTGGAGGTATGAAACTGTTTCTGTACAATAACTGAATTAGATTAGGATTTATGGGCTGGAGAACTGATAAAACAGGAGTGTTATCAAAAAGATATAAAAGATCATTAATGTCTTTCCAAGAGAGGAAGAACTGAGAAATTCTCAGTATTAAATTCAACATTATTAAATTCACATGATATGGTGATGCTCAATTGTAAAGGGCTCTTTAAAAGTGAAATGCATTAAAAATTATTAGACTGCAAGTACTTACAGTACTCCTGAAGATGACTGTAGCCCTTATCACCACCTAACACTCAAATTATCACTGAATGTGCAGGGACAAGTCCATTTTTCCTGCTCTCGTTCTGTTCCCAAGCACCTTTTTGCTGAATGCTCTCATGTGATATCCAAGAGTGGTGAGAGCTGCAGTCTGACTAAAGAGTAGTGTGGAGAGAGAGAAAGAAGCTTTCCAGTCAGACACACATAGTATGTGATGTCATAATTCAAAGCCAGTAAGGAACACAAGAATTATGGGAACTCAACTTTGCAATTTCTTTGTACATCCAAATCAAAGAAACAAAATTTAATCTTGTCCTTATTCTTGAGAAAGGCTTTCTAAGTCACTCAACAAATCTGCATGATATTAAAACTGGTGGCCTTTCCAAAGCATCTTCAAATCCACTCATATGAGCAAAGTACTGCAAAGCAGTATCTAAAAAAATTAAGGCCAATATAAACTTGAACATAGATGCCAGTGAGTATGTAAGAGCAACCAACAGTACCCAAAGAGAAAAAGTAGCAAACCTAATGAGATTTTTATCTAATAGTAAGACTGCACTGGTGTATGTCTACTTGGTACCAAGATAGTTGGCTGTAAACAACTGGTCGTGGTCCTATCATTGTTTCCCCTGAGAAATTTTATTTGTATTAGAAAGACATAAAGAGGAGGTTGTGGTGTCTGTCTCTTCTGTGGTGTGAAGTGAAAGGGTGAGAGGAAATGGCCTTAAGTTGCACCAGGGAACGTTCAGATTAGGTAGCAGAAAATTTTTTTTCGCTGAGAGTTTAGGCATTGGAATAAATTATCCAGGGAGGTGGTGGAGTCACCACCTCTGGCAATGTTCAGGAGGTGTCTGGAGGTGGATATGGTTTAGGGGTGATTATGGTGCTGCTGGGTTGATGATTTGACTAAGTGACTGAAGGTCTCTTCCAATCTTGATGATTCTGTGATATTGTGATTCTGTGAGTACAAAAACAAGAAAGGCAGGGAAATGCTATGAAGAGAATAAATGAAATCTCATCATAAGACATATAAAGTAAGAGCCAGTCTTACAGCAGGTCACACACAGACTGACTATCCATGTGCAGCCAAACTACCTTCACTTATTTACAAAATCTAGGCTTAATGTATTACCATCTCCATCACACACCACACCTAGTTGCAGAAAGCCTTGTTTGCCCTAAAGTCAACAATGAAATATGAATATTGTATTCTCAGTTCTGCTCTCTTTAATGATAAAACCACTAAATATGGTAGCTTGCTTTTACTACAATAATAATAGACATACTGATTTATTTTGGACTTATGATCTGGGGTTTCTTTCCAGTAAAACAATACCAAGCAAGCCAGGACACAATTTCTTGAAATTGTTTAAAGAATATGTTTCCCACTTCTCTGTGCATGTAGTACATTCTTATCTAGTTAACTATCTAAATTAAGAACAAAATGAAATGTGGGAAGCCTTCATTTAAAAATGCTAACAACAAAACCATTTAATAACATAATATAGTTCTTCCTTTAGGTAGTGTCCTCTGGGCAAAATATCAGACAAAGCTTTCAAAGACATTGTTCTCTGAAGCTAATTGAGTTAGTTGTGAAATATGATATAATTGAAGTTTACTGTTGCCCAAAGAAATACAAATAGTAGATTATTTTTTTTTAACTCTACCTCCAATGAAGAACATTATTTGAAATAGGGAGATAGAGTCAAATCACTTCAATAAAGGATGCACAGAATTATGAGACATTTTGGCACACTGCTACCTCTGAACAGTTTTTATTACCTTTCTCTTAAAACTTATCTTAAAATATATTTATCATCTGCTAGGTACAATTCACACAGGAAAACTAAATACAATTAAAAAATACAAGTAATAAATACAAATTCTGACAGTTCTGAATTAAGATTGTTCTGTCAAATCTAAAATTCTAATAATCTTTTCAGTAAAAGAATCAAAACAACTCAACAATTCCAACTATTTCAGGGAGGAATTATTATAATAAAGAGTAATTTTATAAAATGCTGCCATTCCAGTTAAAAAATAATCTTTCTGGATTTAGTCAAAGACCTCTTTTTGTACTTTTAGAATACCCACTTTTGCAATTCATGTCACTGCATAGTCAACATCATTGCTGAAGAGCAAATTTTTTCAGTTCCTATGACATCAGTAAATTATTTCTTAAGATACTGATATTTCCATAAAATAAGAGCAGATACTGATCTTTAGTTTTCCATATAGCACTATAAAGGGTTCTTAATTCATATCCACTCACAAAAAAAAATTTGCAGAGTGAACAACTAGAGATAGGACCCTTTAATTTATTTTAGCTTCTATATGCTGCAGCGGGGAAGGGGGCAGATTTGCCTGCAAAATAAGTGAGGCTGTTAAGCCAAAAAGTCTCCACATTTTGGCCCTTTGTGGATTACCATTCCCCTCTTTCAGGATATCCCAGAAAAGCTGATGTTAAACCAAATACAAATCTTGTGTGGTTCCTGCAGAAGACAAATTGCAGCAGGACTGTAATGGCTACAGCGCTTATGTTTGAAGGAAGGAGATAAGACACACCTGGGTACAAGAGCTCTGTTTCTGTCTTGCTTTCTGGATTCAAATCAACCATGGAGGAATAATCCTTTCTCTTCTAAAAATGACTTCTCTGTAATCTTACCAGTTTCAAAGCCCCAGAAATTGTCTGTCATGTGGACCATTTGAAATGCAGCTCTAAATTCTGCCTGTATGTTCTTCTCTATGTAATCTATACAATCAGAAGAAAATTTTATTTTTGAATCTCAAATTAACTGTGAAGACAGGGACTTCGAAAGAAACATGCACTATATTTACCATGTCTCCTGCATTCCCTGATGAGCAATTAAAAAAATCTTACTGCTGTTTCGTTTATAGGTGCTTTTTAAAATTAAAAGTATATTTTAAAAAGGGATTTTTTTTTTCATTTATACATTAAGAGTTTTTATTATTTTGAAAACACTCTCTACTGTTGGTTGGCCAAATTCACATCAAGATATGGTTGCAAATAATTTGGTGTTACTTGAAATAATTTGTAAATATGAAATAAGGTTACCAAAATAGTAATCAGGCATAATTCCACTTCATCTAGAGACCTTGAAATAATCAATTTGATAGAAAAAAAAATCCAAAAGTAGTGACATAAATTATTCACTGCAAATAATTCAGACAGACCTAACGAATACAGTGAAGTAAAGAGGAGTTTGCATATTGCACAAAGGGATCATTTAATATCCTTTATCAGTTTGTTCACCTCTCCTGCCCTTCTTCATCTTCTTTGCAATTCCAATAAGGCTGCAACATCACTGCCACACAAAAAGCATTCGTGTTTCTATTTAAAAGATGCCAACCCTGTTGATTGTCTGCCTACGCCATTGTCAGTATAGAAACATGCTTTGTTTTATATTCTGAAAGGGATATGCGAATTATTTTGGCAATTTAGTGCTTTTTCCCAAGTCTGTATTTCTAAACAAGACCAAAGTATTACTGAGGTCACATGAGTATCATAATAATTTTCATTTTTTGAATATGCAGATTATTAATTTGGACTTCTATGATGATGTCCAATTTTGAGTCATCATTACAAATTACTACTGAGCAGTAAAAAAAAAACCAAAACCCAATCAACCAAATTACCAAAGCAAAACAATACCTAAACTTGCTTGGTTTGAAGCATAATGTTTCATTCCTCACTCCTAGGGTGACACTGAGATACACACATTTTTTACCTCCATTGCATTTCTTTGGTTTCATTTATATGCAGACAACACCTCTGTGCCGTGGCCATGCTCTACATCTGGTTCCAGTTCTTCAGTCCAATGCTTCCCTGCTCACATCCATTCTGGCAAGATAGGCTGGGTGTCTGCAAGATTTCTGGCTAAAATTTGACTTCTGAGAAAAGGGAGTACTCGGAATTGCAGCTGAGTCCCTATTGTTAATCCTGCCCCAGCCTGTTCTGTTCACTTACAGGTATGATTGGTGTGATTTCCATCACCGAATACGTTAATATTTTATGTATTATCTTGAGGGGAAGGTCCTTATTTTTTCAGAAAGTAAACTCAAATCCTTTCAGCTGATTATCATTTGTGAAAATAAGCAGGTGATAGATTAGCTGTATGCTCTTGTTTCTGTTTTACCACCCTGAAAAAAGCAGTTAAGTCTCTGTTTTGTCAACAGAAATACAATTTGTCAAGGGTTATATAACCCAGATCTCATAATTTCCAGTGCTGGGCTAAAATCTGTTTCTTACCTTTCCAGATGATTAATGTCTTCAGTTTGCTGTACTTGGTCTCTTTAGCACATGAGAAGAAGGAACATTACCCAAAAGTGGTTATTTCTGGCTTTTTCACAGTCCAATAAATCCTGGAAGTTATTAAAGATCAGGTAGAATTACACAGAATGATATCTGAAAAGTTTCTGAGATGTTCAAGTGATTGAACCATATTATCAGGTTACGAAAATGCTCTCACAAAGCATACAGTAGGTCACCATCTCATGAAGAACTTGGTGTAATCTTTATTTATAAAAAAATGAGACAACATCAAAATATTTCCAGAATGGACTGAATCTGAGAAAATTTCTTGGAATATCTGTATCTGCGCTCATAATTCAACAAAGATCTTCTTGGGTCTATCTTCCAGTTATAGTGCATACTAAATGAGGATTTCAAAAATGAAATTAAAATTCCTCCCAGTGACATATTCTTACTCTTTTGGAAACTTAGGTGTTATCTGAAAATGTAAGGACTCCTCTGTTACAGGGCAGGGTTGCTGACGTCTGATAAGTCACCACTTCTCTTCTGCAAAACACAGCAATCCAGCCAGTCTTTGGTCTTCATTGCCCCTCTAACAGCTGCACGTTTGCACATTTGCTAATAGTACCTTTTTGTGTTGCCAGCATCTCCTTGCTGACACTCTATTTTCTTTTCTTGACACTTGCTGTTGACTTTTGTGAGAGGGAAAGAACTGAAAGCCTTGGCATTTCGGTGTGTGCAACAAGGCAATAGCTGATGAAGTACAATTACTCATACTGTGAGAAATTACCAGTTATATAGCTGTGAGGAACACTTTCAGGAATCTCACTCACAGCTTAATGCTTTCTGAACTGAAGCTGGATCTTGAGAAGATGTCCATGA